GTACCTTTTCAGTCTTGCAGGCCCCGAGTGTCCTTGGGGTTGCTGGAAAGCAGAACTTGTTCTTAAGCCCCAGAATTCTGTGAGAGCGCTGTCTCTTTGAATATCCAAAATAGTCAAGCCGCTTTTTAAACCTTCAAAATGGCGGTGCCCTCCAGGCCGGCAAAAGTCCACAGCTCAGCCCACCTTCCTCTTCACTTTCTCTGTTTGTTCTCCAGCCACCATGCACAGTCCTCCGTGCAGTTCCTGGCTAGCAGGGTGATTTTAGGTTAATTCTTAAGTCCTACCACCACAGGAATCTGCAAGAGCTCTGTCTCTTTAAATATCCAATATAGTCAAGCCACTTTTTAAACCCACAAAATAGCGGCTCCCTCCGGACTGGCCAAAGTCCACAGCTCAGCCCACCTTCCTCTTCACCTTCTCCGTTTGTTCCCCAGCCACCATGCACCATCCTCTGTGCAGTCCCTGGCTAGCAGGGTGATTTTTAGGTTAATTCTTAGGTCCTACCACCACTTGGGAATTTCCATGCCGTCTGTGCCATCTGTACTGTCAGGGTCACTCAGGTCGCTGCCAGACCGCAGCTCCATGTGTCTCCTTTTTTGGTATTTTCACGCAAATTCTTCTGCTAGTTGGGGTTTAGTCCACTTTTGTATCCTTCCTTTCAAGGATCAGGGGTCTAAGATTATCTTCTGTGTCTGTGTTAATTGGTTTCCCTTTTCTTTGTTGAAGAGGGTCTGTGCAGTCCTTCTGCCTAGTCCGCCATCTTTGACAAATTTGGTTAATTTTCTTAATTTTGTGTTTTGAAACAGAAATCTTTTTAATTTTGATAAAATCTAGTTTGCCAATTAAGTATGCCTTTGGGGTTGAATCTAAGAACTCTTTGCCTAGCCCAAAGTCATGAAAATTTTCTTTAAAAATATTTTATTTTTAGCTCTTAAATTTAGCTCTATGATTCTTAGTTTTTGTGTATGGTGTCATGTAAGAGCTCTGGTGGTGCAGTGCCTAAGGCATTTGACTGCTAACCAGAAGGTGGTTCAAACCCACAGCTACTCTGTGGAAGGAATATGGGAGCAATCTACTTCTGTAAAGATTTATCACCTTGGAAATCCAAAGGGGGTTGCTGTGAGTTGGAATAGACTTGATGGCAGTGAATTTTTTTTTTTTTTTTTTTTTTTTTTTTTTTTTTTTTTTTTTTTTTTTTTTTTTTTTTTTTTTTTTTTTCTGGTATGAGGTAGGAGTCTGTTGTGGATTGAACTGTGTCCCCCAAAGTGTATATTGTGAATCCTAATCCCTATACCTGTAGATGTAATCCTTTTTGGGAATAAGGTTTTCTTCGTTATGTTAAACAGGTCATATCAGTGTAAGGTATGTCTTATTCCAATCACTTTTGAGAGATAAAAGAGCATATTAGGCACAGAGGGAAGATCTACACTATCTAAAGGTGACTGAGCCCAACCAGTCTGCAAACCCAGGAACTCCATGGCTGGCTAGGTGAACAAGCTAAGAAATGATTTTCTGCCAAAGTAGACAAAGAAAATGTTCCCTTAGAGATATAAACCTGAATTCAGACTTCTAACCTATACTGTGAGAAAATAAATTTATTTGTTAAAGCCACCCACTTGTTGTATTTCTTTTCCAGCTAACTAAAACAGAGTTCAATTTCATTTTTATTTTTGTATTTGCTGTGAGTGTTAAATTGTCCAGCACCATTTATTATAAAGATTCTTCTATCCCCATTGAATTACCTTGGTACCTTTGTTTAAAGTCAAGGTGCAGGGATTAATTTCTGAATTCTCAGTTCTGTTCCATTGATCTCTATACCTCTCCTTTCATCTTACTTTATTATGACTTTATTGTTCTTTTGAAATTAAGTAGCATAAGACCACAAACTTTGTTCTCCTTATTTTACACTGTTTTGGGCATTTTTAGATACTTTGCATATCATAGAAACTTTAGCATCAGTTTTTTAATTTCTGTCAAAAAAGCCTGCTGGGTTTTTGATAGGGATTGTATTGAATTTACAAATCCATTTAGGAAGAATTTCTATCTATCATTATTGAGTCTTCAAATCCAGAAGCGTGAAACATCTTTTCATTTATTTGAATCTTTAATTTCTCTCAACAGTTTGTTTAGTTTTCAGTGCACAAGTTTTGTCCTTCTTTTGTTAAATGTGTTCCTAGATATTTATTTCTTTTGAGTATTATTGTGAATGGGATTGTGTATTTAATGTTAAAATTTTCCAGCTTTGAAAGACTTCACCATTAGAAGAACTTTATTCTCATCTTCTATAAATTGAAATTATACAAAAAGTTGGTGTTATCTTCTCAAGTACATTGATAGTGTAATCCCAAATATTTTATCATTACCATCTCAGGTGAACTGGGGTTGCTTACTGGCCATACATTATTTATTCATTCATTTTTGACTTAAAACAACCACCACTTCTTTAGTTCACAGTTATTTTTGTTGGCAGTTTGGGCTGGGCTTAGCTGAGTGGTTTTCTGGCCTAGGTGGGCTTATCCAACTGTAACCTATAGTTACCTGGCCAGTAGGTGGGTGACTTTGTTTTTTGGGGCTGACTAACTGTTGGCTGGGTCACAAGGGTGACTGGATTATGTTTCTCTCATGGCAGCAGGTAGCTCAGGCTTATTTTCATGGTGAGTGTCAGGTTCTGAGAGAGCATAGAGGTGTACTGGACCCCCAAGAGGCCAGTCCAGATTCTAGGGAGGTGAAACAGACCCACCTCTTGGTGGAGGAACTGCAAATTCACATGCAAAGGGATGTGGGCAGAGGAAGAGGAATAATCTAGGCCTTTTTTGTTTTTTGTTTTTTTCTGAACAGTTCACCACAGTTGTGTGCATCTTTGCAATTCATTCTGGCTGCTTAGACTCTGAATCCTTTTTTGGTTTGGGAAATTATTCACGTTATGAATCTTGGTAGGGGCGAAAAGCACCTCTTCCAATAGAAGCTGAATATACTCCATATAGCTTTTTTGGGCCTCTATTGCATCTGAGGCATGGGTACTGTACTCTTTGGAAGTGAGCCAGGGGAGGCAATAGTCTCCTTTTGGAGCTTATATTCTGGTTAGGGTGATGACAAAGATGATGGCTGCAAGGTTAAGTTCCTGTTGCAAAAGTGGCCACTGTGCTGGTGTTGATGCTGTCTCCAGTGAAGTTAAGCTCATGGTGGAGAAGTGGCGGGTTGCCACCTGTCAAATCTCATCCTCTGCTGTAGCAAGACCACCTAATTGATGGGGAGTAGGACCCAGTGCTGTGCCTCTTTGAGGTTTTACTGCCATAGTTGGACACAGTGAGCCCTTGTTAAAGTGACTGAAATAAGCCCACATCCTTGAGATGCTGGGTTGGCCTCCCAGATCATGCTCCCACCCCTCGAGTTCAAGTTTCATCATTGCAGGTAGAACTTGATGTTTTCCAAGCACTCTATATTTGCTTCAAGGGTCTCTGTGAACTGACTACAGGAAATGGGAGGACTTGAGGGATCTGGGTGGACGGGCAGCCTCATGGGGTCACCCAGGATCCCCTTTCCTATATGTGTGTAGTCTAGTGGCTGTCCTGGTAGACCATTAACAACATGTGGTTTTATTGAAAAAACACTCTATCAGTTGGAGGACTGGTGTTTTGGAACAATCTTCTGTTTCACCAGTTGTGTAGCTTGGGAAGTACCCTCTGAACCACCCTGGCCCCCAGGACCTCAGAGGGCAGAGGTTCTGGGAGGCTGTGGTGGATGAGTAGCAAGCCCAGGGATGTTACACATCTCTTCCTCCTGCAGGCAGCCTGTGCAGTAAAGGCAGTGGGGCATGCTACACGCTGCCCGTCTTCGATACTGTATTCATCCGGCAGCAGCACCGTCGCCAGGGCCTGGGGATGGCCCTGCTGCAGGACTTCTGCGAGACCTTCCAAGAGGACAAGGCCCTGGGGGTCAGTTGCCCCATTTCTCCTGCCATGCTCCAAGGTAACACCACGGTGTTGACGTGTTTGGGTAATGGTGTTGGATGACACGTGTGTTCTGGTAGTTCTGTGAGGGTTCTAGGTGGTGCCATGGAGTTTTTGGGCAGTGCAGGCCTTGCATCACAATGCAGGTGGGTTTTCTTGCTCCTGAGAAATCTCCCCTCACTCAAGCCCAAATCAAGACTTTATTTTTAATCACAAGAGGCTAATGTTTCTCAACCTGAGAAAAATTAAGTTTGTAAGAATAAAAAGCAAACAAACATTGTTAGAGAGAAGCAAAATCCTGAGAACTGCCACCATGCTACAGACTGCTGCTGGTCTCCGTACATTGAGATTTTTCACTGGAAGCTCATAGTTCACCCTTGGACTGGGAGCCACCAGAGAGCCAGTAGGTGGAGGGAAGCAGGAGTGGCAGAGAAGGCCTGGACGCTTGAGCACCTGGGTAGCTCTTACTGCACAAGATAGCTCCTCCTTCTTTGCTCTTTCTAATCAGGCCATGTATTTCAGGTTCTGGAAGGGGAAGTCATGTATTTCCCAGAGGAAGATCAAAACACTCTCATGTTAAATTTCACAAGGGTGGGAAATTCTTGAGAGCGTCTCTGCAGAACTCTTTACCCTCTGTCTTTAGAGTTCTCTTGAGAAACAGAACCAATAAGATGTGTGGGTGTATTATATATATACACACATATATATATGAGCTCTGGTAGCATAGTGCCTAAGATATTTGACTACTAACTATACTAACTAGAAGGCTGGCAGTTCAAACCTACCAGCCACTCCTTGGAAGGAAGATGGGGCAGTCTACTTCTGTAGTGATGCTGCCTCCAAAACCCAAGGAGGGGTCACTCAGAGTCGGGTCTGACTCGACAGCACATAACAACAACAACAACACACACACACACACAGGTATGTTTTGCTTAACATCCATGATAGAGTCTGTGAAATAGGACATTATGTGATTTGGATGTTGTGAAAATACCATATAAGACCTTATGGAAGCTTTTATGCTGCTGCTGGAGCTGCTGGTAGAGGCTGGAGGAATGAGTGGCAACAGTGGCGGCAACTGAGAGGGTGGTGGTTGGAGTAGAGCAAAGAGAAGTGAGTGGAAAGGGAGTGAGTGTGCCCTGCCTTGCCCACTGTTCTACCTGTTGAAGCAACAGGAGCAGCCTGGGCCCCAAGCCCTCGCTGCTGCAGCCTGCATACTGCTGGACAGAGCTGAAGAGCCTGTGCCCACTGCTTTGTCCTCTGCCTCACCTGCCTGGATCCCACCCATGATCCAGTGCTGTAAGAGTCTGGGTTTGTGATCTTTAAAACCATTACGGGAAATAATAAACAAAGGGAGAGCTGCTTTCCCTTTAAACAGACAAACAAAAAACTTTGAGGGACCCTGAACATATATGTGGTTGGACATTGTCTGGATGAACCTTAAGCAATGAATACATACATACATACATACATACATATATACACACACACAAAGAAAGGGAGAGTAAGAAAGAGATCTCAAACTTACTGCTGTTGAGTTGGATCTGACTCATAATGACCTCTCCTTGGGTTTCTGAAGCGGTGTCATTACAGAAGTAGATCACCCAATCTTCCTTCTGAGGAGTGGCTGTTGGGTTTGAACTATCAGACTTCTGGTTAGCAGTTAATGCCTTAGGCATTACACTACCAGAGCTCCCTATGAAAGAGATAGATGTATTTATTTTAAAGATTGGCTCACGTGATTATGGGGGTTGGCAAGTCCAAAATCCTTAGGTCAGGTGACAGGTTGGAAACTCTGGCAGTCTTCAGTTCAAAGTTGGTAGACCAAGTGGTGGGCTGAAAATTTAGACAGGATCCATCTCCCCTGGGGAGCTTAGTTTTTGCTTTTAAGTCCTTCAACTAATTGGATGAAATCCACTCACATTATGGAGGGTAACCTGCTTTTCTTAAGCCCGCTGATTGTAAATACCTTCACAGTAACATCTAGACTAGAGTTTGACCAAACAACTAGACACCACAGCCAGGCCAAGTTGACACATGAAATTAACCATTATACTTCATGGAACACATTAACCCCATGTAGGTCCAGCCTCACTGCTCTTAGTACAGAAGTTTTGGGACCCTTAGTTTTGTCTCTCCAGTGTCTTTGTAGTAGGGGGAGAATAATAGAAAGGGGAGAGAAGTTAGGAAGACAAAGAAAATTCTACTGCTCTTAAGTGATGTTTAAAAAAAGCAGGGGATAACATGTTTTCCTTCACTTGAGTTTAGTAATTTCTGTGTCTTTTCAAACTCTACTGTTAAATGGTGAAGTTCCTGGAATTACTTTGAAGACCACTGGCTTGGCTCCCTGCTCAGGGCAGTTCACCTGGCGTGTCGAGAGTTCTGGGCCTTAGGCAGTTGCTCCTCTGTTCACACCTTTGTCCAGCTAGTGCCTTCTCCTCCTCTCCTCACTTCTGAGACCCTTGTCAGAGTGAGTGGCCCCAGTGTGGCCACCTCAGACTTTCAGCTTCAGAGGGATAAGAGCTGCCCCCCACCAGCACTACATGAATCACACTACTGTCTGAGGTATCAGTGGCCCAACTGAGGGTTTTGAGGCTTTGAGCTTTTGTGTTAGCAGCCTCTGATAGTGCCTGGACATGGAGGCTGAGCAGGCAGTGAGGAGACCAGACAGGCATGCCTAGGCATGTCCAACTCCACCTTCATTGGCTGGTTGGCATTTATTGAGTGCAGCCCTTCTCTTTCTCCCTCGTAGAAGGTCTTCTGCTGGGTCCCATACTGTAGAGCTCTCTTTTAACCACACCCCTAGCTATGGGGCAGGAACCCATGGATCCAAGAGCAAATGCTCACATTGGGTACTGCTCCCCATAAACCAGGTTCAGGGTGCCCAGGACTCAGTATTCCTGCTAGCAGCTGTTCCCCTGAAGTGGACCACACCTATGTACATACCCCTAGACCCAGGTTATGTCAGTAGGTACGGGGGGAGTGTGAATGGTTTCCTCTTTTGTGTGTACAAGGTATTGGGAGGAGCTGGGGGTGGCAGGGAACTGGGGTAGGCCTTGGGCTGGGAGCCAGCTCTCTTCCTGCTGCCACATTCTGGCATAAACCCCCCAGGATCCAAGCATTCTAAATTTGAAACTGGTGTTCCCTGTTGTTATGAAGTTATGTTTATCAGGATAGGCAAGCAGAACATGTGATGGCTCACTCCTTTGCAGTGCTTGGAGTTGTGCTTGGGGGCTTCCAGTTGTACTCTGGATCCCAAAAGTGTTAGGGGAGGCCTGGTGGTGGCCTAGGAACCAGAGCAGGGCCCTGCTGCTGGAAGTGGCCTTTCAACAGGATCTGTGGCAGTGTCACATGGAAGTGCTCACCCTGTGACATGGCAGAAGCAGTCTACAGCTCTGGATACTCTGGAGGGAAGGGTCCTTGGAGGAGGAACTGGAGGCTTCCTGGAGTGGAGGGCTGGATGAGGCTTCAGGAGGGGAGAGCTGGTGGAGGAAGCAGGGAGAATGGTATGGGGAACAAGGTGGTGTGTGTGTGCGATGGGTTGGAGCTGGGAGCTGGGAAGTGTACAGATTAGTCAGAGGGTGCTGCAGAAAGAACCCAAGTGGGCTAGTGACCAGGGAGAAAGGAGTGATGGCCTCATGTGAGAGGGGCCTGAGCCTCACAGTTTCTCCCTGATGCACAGATGCACTTTGCTCTCAGTCTGTAGGAAATTCCTGCTGGCCTGTCCAGAGGAGCGGGGACGCCTGTGGGAGGTGGAACCTCCTGGGACCTGGGGCCAGCGAGTCAACATCTGGCTTAAGATTCAGCTTCAGCAGCACCGACTTCCAGAATGTGAGTTGGAGGGAAAAAGGGTACTTTGGACTAGTTCTTCCTTTTAGCAGCAATTGAAGTACAGATTCATGTACACTGGTCAAATCAGACCCATGTTGTGATGTAGATGGTTAATATCCTCAGCCGCTAAAATGTTGGAGGAACCTCCACCAAGAGTCCCCCCTAGAGGAGCCTCAGAAGAGAGGTCTGGCAATCTACTGAACGAGCAGCCACTGAAATCCTGATGGAGCACAGTGCTACTGTGAGCCACATGGGGTCCACGTGAATCAGAGTCACCTCCAAGCTACAGTTATTGCTGCAAGAGCAGAGGAGGGAGTGTGTTCCAGCCAGGACATCCTGGTCTCCAGTCCCTTTCTGAAGGAACTATGCCAGCTATGCTCACAAAGATCTCCCCCAATTTAGCAATTCTAAATTGCTGTTTGGGGTAGTGTGCCCCTTTTACAATTAGAACGGGTCATTAAAACACTTTGTTGTTGTTGTTGTTATGTGCCGTCCAGTCGGCCCCGACTCATAGCGACCCCTCCTTGGGTTTCTGAGGCAATATCACTACGGAAGTAGGATTGCCCAACCTTCCTTCCGAGGAGTGGCTGGTGGGTTTGAACCACCAGCCGTCTGGTTAGCAGGCAAGTGTCTTAGCCACTATGCTACCAGAGCTCCCATTAAAACACTTAAGAACATTAATTTCTTCTGTAAACTGAAGGTCTGAAAATATTATTTTCAGTAGGTAAAATATGTACTTGGTTAAAAAGTCAGAAGCCACCAAAGGTTTAATGTGATGACCAAGCCTCCCTCCTCTCTTTCTGGGAGAGGATGCATGCTTGCCATGCTTGCCAGTCCTAACATAGGGGCACCCTCTGCATCTTGAGGCTTTGTCCTTTCCCATGGCAGCATCTATGATGTGTGTGGGTTGTGACTATTTATTAGGCAGCTCCTGTTGATAGACATCATGCTGTCATAAATGTTTGGTTGTTGTAGACAATGCCTTGATGAGCTTGCCAGTGGGGCCTTGATGAAGGGTTTTTGCTGAGGAAGGAAAAAAGGCCCTCAGTGGGTGTTCCAAGGGAACTGAGGTGGGAAGTCCTTCAAATAGCCAGAGGGAGTGCATTGAGACACACTTGTCTCTGGTTGTTTCAGGTTGCCTTTGACAGTGTTCTTTCCCCTTCTCCCAGGCTGGAGGAGGGTTGAATGATGCCTCCTTTCTTTCTCAGAGCTCAGAGTTACAGACTGGGGTGGGAGCTGGGCAGGAGCTAGGAGTTACATAACGAGTGACCACCTCCAGGTTACAGGAACTGCATGTGGGTGGGAAACATGGGAGATTCGCACACTTAAAATGAACTGTTACAGGTCAAAGTGTTGATTCCTTTCCCCTCCTGGACCCAGATTTCCTATCAGCATGGAATGCCATTCCTGTAGCTTCAGGGAGCTCATTAGGAGCCGATGGGTGGCCAAGGTTCAGGTTTTTTCTCCATGTGGGTAGTGGATTTACCGTTAGATGGTGACAGGAAGAGTGCCTTAGAGCTTATGGATGACAACAGTGATAAGTTTTACCTCTGTGGTACCTTTCAGCTGGAAGGGCTTGATGGATCTTTACATCCTGGTGGCTCTGCCTGAGCTGACTGTAGACCCTTGGTGTGGGGTTGTTAGGGACACTTCACAAACAGCCACCCTGCATGCTATCTCCACACCTGGACATCATGGTTCCCTGGCTGAGAGTAGAAAGAGAAAATGGACCAGCCTGCCTGTCAGAACGTGAAATGGCACAGGCCAGAGGGCGTGAGCAGGGTGAGGAGGTTTTCTCATAACTGGGGAGATGATTTCCTCCAGAGAGAATTCCACTGGGGGTTATTTCAAGAGCTAGGAGTTGGTGTGGTCTGGTAGGAGGAAACCGAGCTGCAAATCAGATACCAGACCTGTCACTTTAACTTTCTCTGAGATTTTCCTCCTCTCACTTTAAAATGGCAAAATGAGGGGACGTTCAGAGAGAATGTTCCAGAAGCATGTTTGAGTTCCTTGAAAGAAGAAGGAATATTCTTAAAATTAGAATACAATTAGATTACTAAAAGGCTTTATTTTTTTAAAATTCTAATTTCTGTTTTTTTCACTGCTTTAATATATTAGGGCTGATTCTAGCTTCACCCACACCTTTTGCCTCCTCCAGGGCCCACAGTCAAGATTTAATTTACTCAGGAAGGTTTTCAGCCAACTACTTGTAGGGATTGTGTCAGTTAGTGCTGCAATTTCAGGAGTTTTGTCCAAGTTCAGGAGTAGGGGCTGCAAATGCAACCAGAGATTAGCCCTAATGCTTGGCAGTTTCTCAGTTTCTTATCTGTTTCTCCATAGATATCAGCAAGTTTTAGCTAATTAGAGCTTCCCACAGGTCACCAAACAATGTGGATTCTAGAACTTTGTCTCCTCTGGAAATATCACTGTTGTTGTTGCTATTAGCTGCCATGGAATCGGCCCCTGACTCATGGTGACATCATGCACCACAGGATCATTCTGTTGTGATCTATAGAGTTTTCATTGGATCACAACATTTTTGGAAATAGATTGCCAGGCCTGTCTTCTTAGTTGGTCTTAGTCTGGATGCTCCATTGAAACCTGTTCAGCATTAGAGCAAGATACAAGCGCCCACTGACAAGTGGTGGTTGCACATGAAGTGCATTGGCTGGGCATCAAACCTGGTCTTCCACATGGAAGACAGGAGTTCTGAGCTACTTCTGCCCTCCCTAGGCCACTTAATTTGATTTTCATCTTTAATTAGACAGTTACTCTTAGAGTTGTTGGCTTGAATGTTTCCATTTTTCAAGTTCTATTTCTGCCCCTTTATTTCTTACTGTTGCCTTGGAGGTTGCCTGCCATCTCATGTGCTGCAGGAAAAGAACTGTAAACAGACCCAGAGGAGCAGTTCACTTTTCACAGTCTAAGCTCAGGCTGTTAAGGCCTAGGCATTTTACAGCATTTCAAAGGGAAACTAGCCTGCTCTCCTTTCAAATGTTTTAAAAGCCTATTTTTAAGACAGAGTCATTTGTGGACTAAGGCTTTTAAAGTTGGCCTGATCCTGGCTGTTGATACCATCTGTGGCTCATAACAGCCCTGGAAATATTTATAGAGATATTCAGGCCATTTGAGCAAAGGAGTTTGTGGGAAATTTCTTTCTTTCTATACTCAGTTACATATGAAACCTTTGAAACCTGACCTATAGGATCATAATTTCATCTGATGTGATTTCCCAGCCAGCTAGCATGTGCACTAAGTTTATTTACTGGAGGAAATGAAATTGAATATTCCAATGATGAAATGTTCTTTTACAGAAATGTTGATGGGGGCTGTAAGTATCTGCACACTACTTTAAAAAGCTATTTTTTGTTCTTATTCCCGAAGGTCACAGTTGGGATTTATTTTTGGGTAGATTTTTAATAGATTTTGTTGTCCACAAAGAACACACTTCTTCCATTTACATTTAATTTTTAAGACCAGGTGGGTCGTACTTATGTGAAAAATTTGTGATGGAAAGGTGGGATCATTTTTTAAAAATTATATGCTTAGGTAACAGCAATTCTAACCTTATTTCTGCTTGTTCTGGTGGGTTACAACCATAGCAGTTTTACAGTGGTGCTCTAAGCTGGGAAGTGGCCAGAGCACACCGCCCTAATGGACATGTTTTTGATCTAACCCTGATCTTTGAAAGGTTGTGGCGCTCGCTCTAGTGGCCATTATAGCCTACTGCAACCCTGGATGGTAACTTGAGGGTGTTCACATCCTTTTGACCTACTTAACGTGATTGGTTCTCAGATACTTATAATTGTGTCTCCAAATTAGCTCATTTACTTTGAAAGATTATTGAACCTTCATTGGGTAGGAATAAAATGCAAGTAAGCCTTTTATTGTTAACATACATCGGTCCATAATACATAAATATATGATTTCACACATCAGGGAAAGCAGGAAAATTGATAATGACATATCTATTGCATTCACTCATTCACTAACTGATTTATTTGTTCATTCTTTTGATAAGTGTTACTAGAGCATCTGATGTGTGCAGCACTGTCTGGTGTTCACAGTGGTGAACAAGGCTGACCAGATTTTTGAGCTCATTTATAAGCTTATAGTCTTATGAAGTGAAGGACATGAGCATTCACTGCTGTGCCACACAAAATTCTGCAAGTCAATGAGAACTACTATGTACTGGCATTTGTAAGTGCTTACCATTAGATGTTGCCAAACCAAGAGCATAGCTACTTTATATGATTTTGCAAGTAAATTTTAAAATGGAGGTTAATTATACAGATAACATTTTTCTTTATTAAAAATAAAGTATTACATTTGTATTTTCAGCTCACACAGAAAGCCTTGCATATTTTCCCTTAGGAACCTCAACAGTCCCCCTTCTGTATGTGCACACATACTTTGGGGCAGGGTGGCCAGAGGGACAGTAGGACAGGAAAGCCATCCCTTTCTAAAGTGGCACTAATCTGATTTGGTGTGTGTGGGAAGTGCGTTCTGTTGGAATAAGGGCACCAGTGAGCAAAGAGGAGGGCTTGGGCCTACAACTGGAGACCGACTCCATTAAATGCCGGGATGATTAGATCAAAGCCCTAGCTCAGAAATACCCAAGCAGAGCCAGGAGGGCATTGTGGCAAATGTCACAGTACCGAATGAGAAGGTAGAGTTGGGTCTGGAAGGGTCCCTGTGCACTATGAACATTTAGGTTGCCATTGCCCTCTGGGAACCATCCCTTTGCTAACTCTGGTCTCTCATTCATGGATGGCAGTACACCCAGGGGACTCAGACGATGGGAGCAGCCATGGGCAGAGCTATCAGGAATATGGACCCAGACCATCTGGTGATGGAGAAGTCAACAAGGTACAATGATGAGTTTGTCATTTCTTGAGCTGCTTTTTTGGTTTCAGTGATCACGCTGCCCTTGTTCAGAGAAGTGGGGGTCTAAATCTACAGCTTTGCAAACAACATGGCTATGGGCAAAACTGTGGGCCACAGGTTTATGGTCCTAATCTCTGTGCCATCTGTGGCAGCATGAGGAAAGGCCATTGTAATCAGAGTTTTAATGGCCTCTTCTTTAAGCTAGACAAGCTCAGACTAAGCAAAGATGAAATAGAGACCACATGGGAGTCGGTCGTAGCCTGGCATCCTTGAAGAAATTTTGAAAAATCTGAATTTCAAATTTTCCAGTAGATCAGAGTTTTCCAGGCAGAACAAAAGCAAGACAAATTTATCTTTCCTCTCCACCCCCACCACTCAAACCCAGATTGCTAGAAAATGGAGGATGGCATTAGGTTGTCATATAATCCAGAATGATTGCAGAATCGAGTTGTGGGGAAGGATGGTTACTGAGTATTTTCTTGTGGTTTATTGTTCAGTAGTTCACAAGATTTTCCTGTGGGGTGAATGTACCAGGGCTTCTTGAAGCTGAGCCAAGCACTGCCCTACACATGGTAACTGTGATAACACACCTTCTCTGGCACAGAAGGGCCAGAGTCCCAAAATGGTCGCTAATTATTTTAAATCCCAACGTTTATAATTTTACATCATAGAGAATACAGCTTGTTTTAGAAAGTAGACTGTTCTGGGATAGAAGGTTCAACATCAGAGGCATAAATGTGCCGGTCAGTGTGGGCTGGTTTGAGAAAAGCTACTTGGTATTTGAAGAGTCCCTGGTTAGTCCCTAGTTGGCTGCTAACAAAAAGATTGGAGGTTCAAATCCACTCAGAGGTGCTGCAGAAGAAAGGCCTCTACTTCCAGTAAATTGGCCATTGAAAACACTGTGGGGCTAAGGTGAACTCTAACACATGGAGCCATGAGTCAGAGTTAACCTGAAGGCAACTGGTTTTACTCAGTATCAGAAGTTAGTCCAATCCATCTGGCAGAGGAGAATGCTCATTTTCTTTGGTTCACAGTAGGAAGATAGTCTAGACATTCCTAGACCACTGGACATGGAGTTCCCTCTTCTACTGACTACTAATTTTCCTCTTAAGCCTCAAAGGCTGTCACAGGAAGCAGTGTCCATTGTAACCCAAAGCCCATGGGGAATTATGCATTCAAGGCTAATAGCACTGACTGTTAAAATGGTGCTTACTTGCTTTGGTCTTTCTGGATCTCCCTGGGCTTGGCTGCCCTTCAAATCTGTTAGCAAATATGTGCTGAGAGCATCTTATGTACAGAGTATGTACAGAGGCCAGCAGGGCATGTGAACCTGACTTGCCCACTTTGAATCTTAGCATGCCATGTAAGGACAGCCTGGGCAGCCATGGGACTTGAACATCAAACTCTGGGCTGTGGGCTTTCTGTGGTCTCATTGTAATTGTAATAATGCTTTCTTGGTTCTTTATGACTTCAGGGGAGGCTCCTTGGAGAAGAACTGGAAAACATGAAGAATGACCAGGATAGCAGAGTAAAGGAAGAGGAGGTGGGCCTGTGAGGGCTACAGAGGCCAGCCAGGGGCCTGTTGGATGCAGCTGGGGAGCAAAAGCCAAGAGGACTGTGGAGGCTGTTGGGCTGGTGGGGGGACATGGCAGGAGCATGTGTGGCCCAGCTCTTAGCCCCCAGGAGTAGATTTGGACCATGTCGGGGGGCCTGTCCTGGGCTCCAGGGTATCAGACTTGGAGGCCACCTCTCTAACCCTCACTTTGTGACCATTAGCCAGCTTCATGTCCTTGCTGTGCCTTCTTTTAATCTTTGAGGAGAAAGTGACCATGCAGGTCCTGCCTACCTCACTTTTGTGTGAGCTCAGGTAAGAGAATGTCTGAGAAAGTGCACAGTTAAGCACCAAGTGCTATACGGGTGCAAGCAATTATGCTCCTGAACTAATTGTTGGCAGTTCCAAAAGATTTCAGAAGCTCCTTCATTAAACCCAATGTGTTTTCTATTACTCAGGATAAATCTTCAAAGAGTGTACTGGGACTATATGAATGTCTAAAATATACTTCTTTCTTTTATATAAGTAAATGCAGAGGGAAGTGCCATGCCTGTTTCATTTGGTGCTATAGAACCCTTTTAAAGATTATGCATGCCAACCCTGTGCAACTGTGACAGTACTGGCAGTAGAGACATACCTACGGAGACAATTTCCTGGACTAGGCAGCTCTAGCCAGCCTCAGACTCAGGCAGAAGCTCCTTGAGGTTCAGGGCTGGGTGGAGCCCACTGTATGCATCACACATATATCTGGCCTGGTATATAGGAGGCATTCAGGTGCAGGCTCCAGGCTGGCTTTAGGATCTCACCCATCGCCTAATTTAGATGGGAAGTCACTGGATAGGAGTTTTTGTTTGTTTGTTTTTTTAATTTCATTGTGATTTGAGTGAAAGTTTACAGAGCAAATTCATCTTCCATACAGCAGTTTGCATATACTTTGCCTCATGACATTGACTGCAATCTCCCACAATGCAACAGCTCCCCTCCCACTTCCTCCCCATAGCTACCTTTTCCCTGTGTCCTTCCCTACCACGCCCTCATGGCCCCTGAGCTGTCTCCCCATGCATAAACAGCCCTTCTATTCTCCCATGATTGATATTTCCAAGGATTGTATCTACCTAATGGGAGCTCTGGTAGCATAGTGCCTAAGGCACTTGACTGTTCACCAGAAGGCTGGCAGTTCAAACCCACAAGCCACTCCTCGGAAGGAAGGTTGGGCAATCCTACTTCCGTAGTGATACTGCCTCGGAAACCCAAGGAGGGGTCGCTATGAGTCGGGGCTGACTCGATGGCAAACAACAACAACAACAATGTAAATGTTCAGCTCATGTGCCTGTCTTTTGTTTGTCTGGCAGCCACAGGAGTGGGTTCAATTCCAGACCTGAAGGGCAGTTAGGGGCCATAGTCTCAGGGGTTCCACCAGGCTCTATCAGACCAGCAACCCTGGTCCCTCTTTTTTTTTTTTTTTTTTAATGATTTTGAGTTTTGTCCCACATTGTTCTCTCACTCTGTCCAGGATCTCCTACATAGATCCCTCTCCAAGTAATTGACAGTGGTAGCTGAGCACCATCTAGTTCCGATCTCATAGTTGTATGGACTGAAGATCGCATGGTGTACCAGTACCTTGGACTAATTGTTTCCATGTGTCTTTTGTTTTCTTCATTCTTCTTTGCTCTGGACAAGGAGAGACCCATCATTGGATCTAGATGGCCCTTGCAAGCTTTTAAGATCTTAGTCACTAGTCACCAAGGTAGGATGTGGAACACTCTTTTTTGTAGTATGTTATGCCAGTTGACCTTGATGTCCCCTGAAACCATGGTCCTCAACCCACAGGTTCAACTACTCGCTTCCTCTGGGTAGCTGGTTGTGGCCAAGAAATAACTACAACCTTGTCCTTTGTCAGCTCTATGATACACCTGGGAATTCTTATACAACATACAAATACCCTTGTACAAATATTGTCTGCCAACCCTATACATGGCCATTGGGACACTCCTCCCCACACAGATGTACCTAATTGTTCAGCCTGTCCACCCATCTATCCACCCATAAATGAATGTTTGCCATCTGAGTTTTGGCTGGTGGTCCTTCTAGCATACTGGTAGCTGTGAGTGGAAACACTCATGCTAATAAATGCAACTGAAAATCACAGCTTGCCTTGAATGTGACGTCCAGTCTGCCCCTTCACAAATTCCTATAGTGGCCTTCTTGACCTCTGGGGAGGCAGAACAGAAAAGACAAAGACCCTGCACTCCAGCCCCAATGTTGACAAGCAAGGCTTAGCTTCCCCAGTGCTGAGGTAGCTCAGACTGCTTTGTGTAAGGGGCTGGATGGTCCTTGCCTCCAAGCCCGCTCCCCTGAGAGCTGGGGTAGTGCTTTCTCTGGAATTGGGCCAGCCTCACTAATGTTCAGAAAAATCCTTCCTAGAGAAAACTGGTCAGACCTTTTGAGACAGACAACTCTTCTTCCCTTGCCTTCTCTCCTATCTCTTATCTATCCATCTATCCTCCATCTTTTTATCTCCTCTTTCATCCATCTCTCCATCCATCCTTCTATAGTCCCATTCATCCATTCATCTCCCTCCATCCATCCACCCAACCAAACATCCATCCATCTCACCATTCATCCATCCCCTCATCCCCACCCTATCCATCTATCTCCTCATCTATCATTCATCCTTTCATGTACCCATCCATGTTCTCATTTATTTATTTCCCCATCCATCCATCCATTCACCTATCCACTATCCATCCATCCATCCATCTCCTCACCTATTATCCATCCATCTCTTCGTTGTTATCAATGATCACTTCATCCATCCATCCATCAGTCCATCCATCCATCTCCCCATCCATTTATCCACTCATCACCTCATCCATCCATTCATCTATCCATCTTCCTATCTATTTATTTCCTCATCCATCCATCCTGTTATATAGCAAACATTCAGTGTACTTGCTCACTTTGTGCTAGGCACTGGAGATATACAGATAAGTAAAGTGTGGTTGCTGGCCTTAAGGAAACTGTTTTCTCTGGAAGGACTTCCTCTGGAGTGTTCTACTAGAGTTTTTTTTTTTTTTTTCCTCTCCCATGCATTAAAAGGAAGAGTGCAGTTAAATATCAATCATGGGAGAATAGAAAGGCTGTTTATGCATGGGGAGACAGCTCAGGGGCCATGAAGGCATGGTAGGGAAGGACACAGTTTGTCTATTGTCATGGCATGTATGTTGCTCTGATGCTGGGAGCTATGCCATCAGTGTTTAAAATATCAGCAGAGTCATTCCTGGTGGACAGGTTTCAGCAGAGCTTCCAGATGAAGACAGACTAATAAGAAAGGCCTAGTCATCTTTTTTCAAAAATTAGCCAATGAAACATATTATACAGCCACAGTAGTTAAAATAGCCTGATATTGTACAATGAAAGACACATAGAC